TGTGTTTCGAATATATATATATATTCATATTAAATACATGAAATTACGTATAAAAGTTTTCAAAACTTTAATATATATAGTTAATAGTAACTCTCATCAATCCAAAATTAGCTTGATTGGAACCTTCGTCATAAATGATTTTCTGTGTTTGCTTGATAAAAATGGATGGCAGTTGAGCTCCCATAATGAGATTCTTTCATCAGCTCCTGAAATTCATTATTTTATTAAAATAAAAAAATAATAAAATAATACTTTAAAAATTAGGCTACATTATTTTTATCACAACAATAACAAAAAAATTCAAATATTTTAGAACATCAATCACAAATTAAGTCCTATTATAATCCCTTTAAATATTAAAATATTTATTTTACAATGCATTAATTTCAAGGATTTTAATGTTTGGTTTTCTAAATTTTGAATGTGGTGTAAAATATAACGAATTTTGCATATATTTTATCAAACGTTTCTTCATATTTAAAATTCGGCTGATTTTTCAAATTCACGATACAATGTAAAGTGTTCCCTCCACCACCATGCCGCCCTCCACCACCAACCGCCATCCACCTACCTGTCGTTGGTCGATTTCTGAAACATATTTAGTTCAATTATAAGGTCCGTGTGGGGCAGCTGTTAAAAAGTAGTTCTGAAGTTGATGAAAAATAATTAGAAATTCAACTTATTTTTCAAAATCACAATATAATGTGAAGTGTTCCCCTCATCACCCTGCCGCCCTCCACCACCAGCCGCCAATTCGTCATATACCTACCTGTCTTTAGTCAATTCCTGAATCATACTTAGTTCAATTATAATGTCTGTGTGGGGCAGCTGCAGCTTATTAAAAAGTAGTTGTGAAGTTTATGAAAAATAATTTGATATGCAAAAAATTGTGTTGACTATTATATATTAGATCGTAGTTATAAAATTGTCACCGCACATAGCTAGGACTGATAGAAAAACACAGATTTCAGCTACAATTTAGCTAAATGGATAAAATTGAGGTGCGGTTTGTACCGCACCGCCACGGCCGCACCAAACAGAACTTACAAATTCAATAAACATAAAAAAAATAAAATGCTTTAATGAAATTATTCTTTTGTAACACTATCTCTGTAGTTTTAAAACTGCTATGTCGATACAAAGTATATATTTGAAAAGATATCTCTAGTCAGTGATTGAAGAATATTATTTTTTTCATAAAATTATAAATTTAAGTAAAATAAATTATATTTTATTCGATGAGGACACGTGGGCAGGATGGGGTGGGCCCGAGCAACGTTATCCGATGGCATTTAATGAGTGAGGAGAGAGAGAAATATTGGAAGAGAGGAAGAAGACATTGGCGCACAGCCATAAGATTCCTTCCCAACGGCGCCCACCCGCTCTGCG